CTTGTGTATTTCCTGACTTGTATTTTCTTCTGTGAGAATGGAGCCATTTGATATTGCTTCCACCTGTCTTTGTTTCCTGTCTTCATGTAGACAGGTTGGATGACGAAGATTACATGTGCTACATGTATGTCACCTCTTACAATCCTTGGTCATGTGACCTTTTCTCAAACACCCAAAACAGAGCCGATTTTCATGAATGAATGTCCTTTTATCTTCAACTGTCTTTGCTACAAAAAATAGGTCACCTCGTGATATTATGAGTTTCACTTTTACAGACGGAGCAAGGTGATTTTGGTTTACTGTTGTATGTTTCTTGTTTTTCCTGTGTGAAACTCTTTGGTTGTGTGTTTGTGTTGAAAGCTTTGGCTCGCTTTGATGCTCTTTCATCTATAGGTTTAAAATTCATCATCAGGGGATAGGGTTACGGGCTATCCGGGCCTCCTTACTCAGGAAATCTGTGAAGCACACAAAATCTGGATAGCTTCCAGATGTGTCAAGTTTGTCTATTACAATACGACTCCACTTGTGTACAATCCATTCTGGTAGTTTTTTGAGCAACTTGTGGTTTTCGTCACAAACACTAAGGATAGCTAATCCTTCGACGTGTGAAATAGCTTCAGTGCAGCTTTGGAGAAAGTCTGTGAATTCTCGTAGTGCTAGTGAGTCATTTGTAGTGATCTTTGGCCATCGTGTGAGCTTATCACAGAAAGCTTTTTGTACGATGAATGGGTTCCCATACCTGTCCTGTAAGACTTTCCAGGCTCCAGTTATGCTCTTTCTGAATCTTGATAGAAGAAACCTTCTACAGCTTTGTGCGCTTCTCCAGCAAGATAATTTTTGAGGTAAAACATCTTCTCACTTAGTGGGATGGGTTTTCTGTCAATGAGAGTCACAAAAGACAACTTCCAATCTGTAATCTTTAAGGGGTCACCACTGAAAATGGTGGGTTCAAGGACTGGCAAGTGGCTCAAACTTAACGAGCTAGCGATTGCTTGGGCTAAACTGATAGACTCCTGAGTCGTCGTGACTTCAGGTGATGCATGGTGAGGCAGGAATAATGCAGCATCTGGATTGAGTCAAGCTTTATTTCTATAGCGAACAGCGTTAACTTGATCATGAGACTCCTCACCATTGTTTTCAAAATCATCATATGCTCTTACACGAGCTGCTGCTATAGCCATGTCCTTATCTGATTGTAATGTTGCAGTTTTGCTCTTTCTTGCTCCAACTGTTGATGCATTTCGACCTCCTTTTGTTTCATGTCCGACAGCATTTTTGCCTCTTTAGGTTTCCATTCATTTTCTAATTTGTGAAGATGTGCTTGCTGTGCTTGAATTTCTTTCATGGCCTTTGATTGCTCCATTTTAGCAGCGAGCTCTGCTTGTGCATCTACTTTACTGTTGTGAGTACTGGCTGAGCTGGAGTGGTTGCTTACTGAGCTTTCTGCTGGCTCTGATAAACTTATAGTTTCAGTTTTGGTGTAACCAAAGACAGATCCATGTTCATCTTTGTTTAATATTTCTCTTACTCTTTCTTTCTCAAGTTGGTTATTATAATCTTTGTTAATAGTATCTAGACGATTGCTTATGAGATTACATATTTCCTTTGTTAATATAACACAGGCATCCATTTTGTTGACAATCTCAGGTGTGGTATGACTCTTATGTAGAATAGGTTCATACAGTCGTCTCACATCTTCATGTTTAGCCTGAATGTTTAGCTGTAATTCACTGAGCTCTTCCAATGAACAGATGTACTTTAGTTTAGTTCTAGTTTCCCTTGCTGCCAGCTTCCACAAGTCATAGACTTTGTTAAATGTTTTCTCTCGCCTTTTAAAGTCTTGATCATACATTTCTTGGCTTTTTTCTGTCATTTTTCTCTCACGTGAGCTGGACCTGTGTGGCATGTCTGTAGGGTTGTCTGTTTTTTCTGATGGGAGTGACATGCTGTTTGTTTTGTGCAACTGCTTTAAGTCGACTATAGCTTTTGATTGTCCTATGCCTGAATCTACACTTATAAGCTGTAATTGTCCTTTACTACAGAGTAATATTTATGTCAAGCATTTATAGATTATGAACACTCAAAGGATTTTTGCATAAAACATAACAACAAAGATGTCATAAAATAAGCCTTGCAGAGGAGGGGGCTTGTCAAAGAGACCATCTTAGCACCAACATAACTGGTTTGTTCCACTTTGGAGTAAGCTGTTGGGGGAAGAATCAGTTTTGTGTTGTGTGTTTCCTTGACTGATGAAGCCTTCTGGATGGAAGGTGAAACGTTTCAGCACAAAAAGGAAACTGTCCAGATGACCTGACTGAAAATTGTTGGAAGCCTTGCAGACGTTAATAGCAATGTTGCTTCACAACTTAAACTCTTTTATAAACAGACTTGTCATCAATTATTGTGGATTCACAAACATATGTGCTCATCATCTTAGAAGTGTTATGTGTGTATAATGATTGTCCCATTTGCTACTATGGTTTGCAATGTTTGTTAGCAACCGTGGCTGTATCATAAGCGTGCTGCCTGTTTAATCTTGCCTGTGCAGGATAAAGGTGCAATTGGGATCAGTAGTCTTGCATTTGATTGGCAGCAGGACCTCTGACGTGTTGATCTCTTCTCCTTTGGGATGGTACGTCTACTGCAGCGAGGAGTTTTCACTGTAGTGGCCCTTTGGATTAACGAGCCAGACGTGGAGAGTTTCAAACGGGGGCCCGTTTATTCTATGTTTCTTGCTTCACATGAGACATAGCAGGAACATCACATGCACAGTGCACCGTGAAAACTACAGAATAAACAGAAAATTCCAAAATACCTCTCTAATTTCACAATAGTTCTCAAGTACGTCATTCACATATTAATTATGTTTTAAACTTTATAAATCAAGCTAACAAACAAATAACAATAAAGGTCAAATTTAAAACACAAAATATCAGAGTCAGAGTCAGAGTTTCTTTATTGTCATTCGCACCTCATGTGGTACATGTGGTGGAGCGAAATTATGTACACAGGGTCCCAGTTACATCCAACAATAAAATGTATAAGAAAAACGGTAATAACATCAAAGATATGAACTAAGAAAAACATCAACTAAATATACACTAAGCACTCATAACATAAAACATTGAACATCAGCACAAACATGAACATGAGTCTGTGAGCAGATGTGCACGCATGAACACATCAACATTGAAACAGATCAGCAGCAACATGAAACAGATCAGCAGCAACATGATATGGTTTTTCACAGTGATTATTCTAGTTAGAGATTCATGAGTCTAACAGCCTCAGGGTAGAAGCTGTTCCTCAGTCTAGTGGTTCTACACTTAATGCTCCTTAACCTCCTTCCTGAGGGGAGTGGGGCAAAAAGTGTGTGTGCTGGGTGGGTGGGGTCCTTCATGATGCAGGTGGCCCTCTTCCTGCATCTGGAGGTGTAGATGTCTGTGATGGTGGGGAGACTGATTCCAACAGATTTCTGTGCAGCCTTCACCACTCTCTGCAAAGCTTTTCTTTCTGCAGCTGTGCAGCCTCCATGCCACACATTGATGCTGGAGCACAGGATGCTCTCCACTGCACACCTGTAGAAGGAGGTGAGGACTGAGCTTCCCAGACCAGCTCGCCTCAGCCGTCTGAGGAAGTAGAGTCTTTGATGAGCTTTCTTGATCAGGCTGGTGGTGTTGTTGCTCCAGCTGAGGTTGTCATTCATGTGTACACCCAAGTACTTGTAGCTGGAGACCACTTCCACCGCAGATCTGCTTCCTTGAATTAAAATAACAACTCTGAATTGTCCCTAGGTGTGAATGAGAGAGTGAATGGTTGTTTGTCTCGTTTGTCTCTGTGTGTCCCTGTGATGGACTGGAGACCCGTCCAGGGTGTCCCCCGCCCCTCGCACAGTGATTGCTGGACATGGGCACCGGTGACCCCTGTGACCCAAAATGGAATAAGCGGGTAAAAGAAAATGGATGGATGAATTAAATGAATGTTCACAGAAATAGCATATTGTTTTCTGTTAAATAACGTGCAGCTTTATTTATAAACAAATGAAATATAAACTTTTTCTCTAAATAAAGTACATTCTTCTGGTGACAACAAATATACACTTTACATTTTCATACCTCCTTCCGCCTTCCCAGTGTGCTAAATTTGAAGTTGGACATCAACCTCCTTTGCTAGCATGCCCTCTCCTTTAATGTGCATCTCAGCAGGAACCCTTTGAACGACACGTGAGAACGAGCACAACGGCGTGCCAGGAGAGGAGCGGCAAAAGACACAGAACAGAGTGATGCTCTTCAAAATAAGAGCGTGACTGACCATAAAATGCAAGCTGAGTGTGAAATCATTACAACTAGCTGTCCTTTAGAACCTGTACCTACAGGGAAACATGGAGGAGGCTTGATTCTGCAGGAGATCCTTCCTGCCCACAGCTATCAGCATCTGTAACAACTCTTGAATGAAACCAGGACGATGAGCTACGACAACACTTAATTTCCCTCTGGGATTAATAAAGTATTTTTGAATTCGAATTCTGTTCTGGAGCTGCTTTGCAGCATCTGACTCTGAGTGTCTTTAATCTGTGAAGCACACAATGAATCTCGAGACTATCAAGGCGTTGTGGAGCAAAATGTGGTGCCCACTGTTTGCCCTCAGTCACAGGCCATGGCCCCAAAACACACAGCTAAAAACAAAGGGCTCAGAACCAGCTGCATCACTGTGAAGTGAACTTCTATTCATTCTTTTGTCAGTTTCAACTTGTTTCAGTGAACTTTGTGGGTTTGTTTTTCTTTAATCAAAGGATACAAACAAACTTGTCTGCAGTCGTACATTGTGTGTTTGACATGGTTTGACTGAAAAAGCATTTGTGTATTTTCCTTTTCATCCTTCATGAAACTGTTTAATGTTCTTTCAATAAAGTGTTTGTGATTCCTTCACTGGCTGTTAAACAACTCCACTGTGAACATGTATTCTTGTGCAGATCTGAATAGATTCTTTTTTACTTACAGATGAAGAAAATGCAGACTTTATTATAGTTTCATTCACTGGGCAAACTTGGCACTTTGAGGCTCAGAACCTAGAAGAGAGGGACTCGTGGGTCTCAGCTGTAGAGAGCCAGATCCTGGCAAGCCTGCAGTCCTGCGAGAGCGGCAGAAACAAGGTAAAACCATTTCTTTCTTGACAAAACATGTGGTACAGCCCTCACAAAGCATGTACAGATGTATGTAGTGACATCACTGCCTTTCAAAACTGATCAGCTCTGTTGAACAACTCATTGAAGCAAACGGATCATCAAGATTGGTTCCCTTCAAAGAACCACATATCCCATTTCTAGTAGCGACTCCTGAAGAAAGGAGCAGCTGAAAGAAAAACAATGGCTGAAAGCTGCAAGATCATCTAAATAAAATAATAGTAGGTGGAGGGGGAGAAGCGTCATTCATCTCTTTTATGTCAATGAGCATGTCTTCTTCTTCTGGCTGTCCCCTCTTCAGGGGTCACCACAGCGAGTCATCCTCCTCCACGTCGCCCTGTGCTGCATCCTCTGTCCTCACTCCAGTTACCTCCACGAGCATGTCACTCCTTGTAATCACCAAACCCACTGCTCCCAGCATCATTTGATCTAATGTGTACACTTCATCACATGCAAAATCAGTTTTGTCTTCTCAAAAGGACCGAAAATGCAAACGTTTTCCTTTTTTAAATGTTATTTTTAAGCCATTCAGATGCAGTAATCCCACAGACAACATCACATGAAAAACTCAAGCCTGTTTTGCACTGCATGCTGCAGCAGTCTGCTGTGGAACACAACACAAGTGTAGTGATCTAGGGTCGGTTAGCTTCAGTTAGCTTCACTACAGTCAATAATTAAAAACGATGTTCTCTCTTTTTCGAGCTACTTGACAGATATGTGACAGAGATACTG